TACACATCACTGGTCAGGTCCGTTCTTGAATTTTCATGCATAGTTTGGTCACCTTACTATCAGATCCACATCAATAGGCTTGAGAGTGTTCAACACAAATTTATTAAGTTTGCAAGGTACAAACTTTCTTTGAGTGGTGTAATTCTCAGTGATGACCTGACTATGACTTATTTAGACTTATCTACTCTTGTTCGCAGAAGGGAATATTTTGATGTCTGTTTTGCATTTAAAATTCTTAACTACTACATAAAAAGCCACGAATGTCTTGAATGTTTTAATCTACACATTCAAAGTTATCAGACACGAAGTAAATCTTTACTGCACATTCCTTACTGTCGAACCTGGTACCTACTATTCAGTCCTGTGAATAGAATATCTGCCAATGTAAATAAGTTCTGTGAGGGCCTTGAGTTCTTTGGTTTATCTCTGGATGAATTTAAGACGAAGGCCAGGAGAATTGTTTTAGGTTAGATTTTTTTTTTTTTTTTAGATTTAAACTCTGTTCAACTTCAAATGTATTTTTCTTATACGTAAATAAATGAATAAATAAATAAATAAATAAATAAATTACAAATTTATTTTTACAGAATAACTAAATGCTAACCTCTGGAATGACGTTACTTCTCAGTAATTCCAGGAGTTAACTTTCAGTTATCTGTCAAAATAGTTTTATAATACCCGCCCTTAAGCCTAGTACTCATAACTGCGAAATTCGCATTTTTTTGACATTGCGTTGACAATTTGACGTTTTATGCGTGTATCAAACGTCAAATTGTCGAAGCAATGTCAAAAAAATCCGAATTTCGCAGTTATGAGTACTAGGCTTTAGTCCTACACACACGCAACACACTGGCACCAAAAACAAAAACTAAAAAGCACCCTAATGTCCGTACTCCGACCAGTATCCTAAATTATCTATGGATCTTCTTCAAAGTTTAATTTTCGTTTTTTTTTTTGTATATTTATGAGTTAATTTTTTTTAAATTCATTTTTATCGCTGCCTTTAAAATTCGGTTGTGTGGGGGCCCCTCAGCTTTGGGGGCCCGACGCACAGTGCGTCGTTTGCTTCATGTTAGATCCGCCACTGATTGAGCCATTCTCATGTTAACTCATGTATGTGTGTCACGGCAAAGAATGTTACAGTCTCGGACGCAAGGATAATGCGCACCACTACACAGGATTGCTTGTCGGCCTCGTTGCTGAGAATCGCGGCCATATTGTGTAGCACCATTGACGACGTATTAAACTACGTCGTAAGCTGTTTGCGCCAGCGGTCGTAGTTTAGAATATACAATTATGATGAAAAATATCATTTAATTTTGATTAACATAATAGGCAAAGAGGAAGATGCAAACGAGATCTAAAAAAGCGTTGTTTTATGGGTAGTTGCACCAACACTTTCTGATCTTGGTTTAACAGTAATCTTGGTTTAAACCAAAGAAATCCATATTGCACGGTTTCTTGAAAAAAGTTTAATTTGATTTGAACTTGTTTTTTGCAAATAAGTGTAATGACATGCCGACGTTGTTCACGGCATATGTTCATGTTGTGAGAATTTCAATATTTATTATTATGAATTTGATTTTTAAATTCCAATAATCAATTTCGTTCGAAATATCTGTGCAAAATAAAATATGGAAATGAAACAAATATCCCGTCGAAAGTGAATGAGGAGAAAGTTAAGGAAAATTAGAGGATTAAAAATTTTGCTTAACTTTTTCCTCATTCAATTTCCACGCTTTTCGGTTGTTGTAACCGACAAAAACTTTAATTTCTTTCAAATATCCCGTCTTTTAGAAGCGCGGTTACGAGCAATGAAAAACAAGACACTTGGAAGAAAATAATACAAAAGTATAAAGTATAACAGTGCGGAGCCTTCTTATCCAAGAGCTGTAGAATGTTTGAAACGTTGCTAGCTACGAAAATAGAATAGGTAAATTTTGCAGGTAAATAGGGCTAAATTAAATTAAAATTGCATCTGTCCCCTTATTGTATGTGATTTGGAATGCCTAATATTTCTGCTTTCACATTTGACAAATTTCCAACATGTTTGCGAACCTAAGCGAAAAAAATCCTATAAATTACTAGTTTAATCAAACCGAGCTTAGTTGTGTGTCGTGCAATGTCAGTTTAAATGATCGGGGTTTATTTTTGAATCTCAGTTTCATTAAACTTGGATTAACAGAATCTTGGTGCAACTAGCAACTAGCCTAGGGTGACCATATTTTTTTTGCATGAATGCTGTACACATCTGAAATTTTGGGACAGGTGAGTGGAAAAAGCACTAAATGAAAAAAAAAAAAAAAAACGATGCCACGCCCAAAAAAAGTTTTTTTGTGTAAATTTTTTCGACTTTATAGGTTGTTTTAGTAGGTATATAATTAGTACCATTTTTTGGAAAAAAAATTGGATGATACATAATAGGCAACTCCCAAGCAAAAATAAAAATTCTCATTTATATACATTTAGGTTCGGCTTATCCATTTTCAGATAAACTTGCTGGTAACTATCTGCAAAATAAATTTACCGTTCTATAATTCTATTGGTCGGTGGATAACTGGCTTACCAATGGGTTTGGGTACAGATTGCGGTTTTATCCATCAGATTCCATAAACTCCGTCGATTTTAATCTGATACTCCAAAGGAATGTGAGCTGGTGGCTCCCTACATTAGAAAGCCAATGGTCATTTGTCACCTGACGTCACACCTGTTTTTGCCATAAGCTTCACCCCCACGCTTCTCATTCGGAAAGTGTCAGATTAAAAATGACGGACAGTACGTGACAGTTTAACAGAAGGTGAATAAACCGGCCCAAAACACACAAAAAATAAAGCTAAAATGCATTTGCAGAAAAAAAAAAAAAAACTAAAGATGTGGCGACATGTTTCATGTTTCGTACAATTTTTAAGACAAACTTATTTATACGAATCGCTGTACATTTGCTGTACAAAATCAAATGCTGGACAAACTTTCAAAATGCTGTACAATACAGCGAAATGCTGTACGTATGGTCACCCTAAACTAGCCATTAGACTGTTATACATAGCTTTGTTTTGATTTGAAATTTGGAACGGTTCTGGTATTGCGCAGAACTGCTTGCGCCCAAACAATAATGGAGGACTGTTCTAATGCTAATTTCTGAACCGATTCGGTACCAAAAAAAAACAAAACAAACCGCGGAAATCACAATAAAATTCGAAAACAGTTCCTTCTTTAGAGCAAGAACTGAGAGAACCGTTTTAGAACAATCCCAGAATTGTTCCTATAATAGTTAAACCAAAACGCTGTTAACGCAGTTCGATTACGATTCTGAAAAAACCAAAACACGTTTTATGACACGCGTATGTGCAGAATCATTCCGAACTAGTTCTAAAGTGAAACCAAAACAAATCTTGTATAACGTACTAAAATCAAGTAAGCATGGCCGGCTTCTCATGAGCGTAAACTTGACATACTGGCGCAAATGCTGAATACGTGAATTTTGGCGCAACATTCACATGGAGTGGAGAATTTACGCCTCCGCGTATGTCAAAATTATATTTTTTTCCTAAATTTTGAAATATTTATTTGAATTTTGATTGTACAAATTTGTTTTTGTTATTGCTTAGTTCCAAATAGTAACAAATATGGACAGTAAATCTCAAAAATCAAGAAAATGGAACGGTTGTAACCTTAACCTCTAAAAACGCTGAATTTTTACGCGAAAAGTTGAACTTTGCTCAACTTTTGACGTATCTATGCGGCAGAGTGTCAGCGTACCTATCTAATATGGCAGGATTTTTGCCAATCAGAATTCTGCATTCAGGTACGCCGTCACGCCATAAATGTCAAATTACGCTCATGAGAAGCCGCCCTAAAGTAAAAGCCCGCGAAATCCTGTGCTGCAAACACACTACGTCAATGCGAGAAACGACACGCTGCCTACGTCATCGCTGGTTCTTTGACGTGGTAGGGGGCTTGAGAAATGAGATTTCACCTACACAGTCCTTAAGAGGATAAGCTATCCTGTACTAGTAGTAGTGTATTATCTTTGTCTCGGACGTAGGTACGTGATTAAGGGCGGGTATTAGTTGTATTCCTTTCACACCTAGGAGGAGCTCCGGAACAGCTCCGAGGCTTCACGCGCTTTTTCCTTTCGAAAAGTGTTTGTTGCACCACGCATCTGTTCCCTGTAAATCGGGGGCTACTTAACACCGGAGCGAGTAGCTCGAGTGTTTCAAACCCTTGAAAGGAATACAACTATTATAAAACTGCTTTGACAGTTAACTTGAAGTTAACTTTTTGAATTACATCTAATTCCAGAAGTTAACTTTAAGTTAACTCTCAAGGTTTTATAATACCCACCCTAAAGGATATTAAATATTTACTCTTCAAACCGCTTCAAAATTCACCGGCCGTATTCCGATGAGAAACCGGATCATACGAGAAATTTTGTTGGAATTTTTTTTTCCTACACTGAATTAACAAACGCTTATTTGCACTAACCGCAAAACATTGCCGACAAGTGTAAATTAGTACGCATTAGTGCAGAAATAGCGAACACTTTAACACTATTTGCACTAGAAGCCTATCGAATCTAAAGCCTCAGTGCACAAAAGTGTAAATTAGTAAATAACAAAGGGCTAATACAACTACTAAGCGTTCCAAAATCAAATGCATCAGAAAATTCTTGTAATCAAACTCAAACCTGTCTTACCGAAACTTTGGACAGCTACCGGTTTTTTAACCGGCTCATTTATCGGTGAATTTCTGAAAATAGCCAACCAAAATCATCAATCAGCTGGGCGGTTTGGATAGGGGGTGCATTCATCCGTTCGGCTGGTCATTTTTTCGAATCATCTAAAAGAAAAGCTCGACATACGTCTTGTCCTTGCTCTAAGTTGACCAATAGAAACTGAGGGCGCAGGAACATTGTGGCACCATTCATAACTGCCACAGCCTCTAACTGCACTACAACAATGAGTTTACCCTCACCCAATTTTTTTCTATTTTCGTCGTTTGCGATTGGGATCTTTAAAAATGAAACTGAAAAACCGATCATCTGTTTTCACAGGATGTTGTTTACAATTTAAAAGTTGAATTAGCAAACAAATAATGCTAATCAATGAGCAAACACATCTGAAGATCGCATAATCATGTTAAAATTATTGAAAAGTAGAAAACATAGTAAGTATAATTTACGAACTTTTGAATTTCCCTCGAGAAAATGGCGAAAAGTGACGACAAAAACCCGATTGTCCAAGGGTAAAGAAGCAAAGGGCTGAGAAATATCGATGGTGTAGCCTTGGGAAGTTAATAAAAGGTCGCAAAGTAAACATTGAAAGAATCCATTTTTCAGTTTTGAGCCTTTTTTAAATGTGTAAGAAAATGTTTGGTTTTGAGAAAACGTGAAAATTTCTCTTCTCTTCCTACATCATTCAACTGAATTATCATGCAGGAAATTCAAAGCCCTTTGCAAGGCTTTTTGGTTCAATTTCTAAGGAGGTAAAGGAGGTATTCATTTGACTTTTTTACTTCATTAACTTGCACCCCTTGTCCTTAAATAGCTTGCCATTTCATTTATTAATTCTTCAATGCACTATATGTATTTAAATAAAAATACCATACCTACACATTTATTTTGGAATATTTAATCATCTGCAGCTTTCTTAATAATTCAGGAAATTTAATCGACTTGGAGAAGGGCAGCGATATTCAATTCAAATTGTGCTTATTCCAGCTAAAGAAGGGACTATACGTTCAGTTGGTTGATATCCATTTAATTCAAGCTTTATTGCTCACAAATTGGTGTAATTTACTTATCCATTATTATTGTTGAAATAAATTTGTAATGTTTCTCTAGGGCATGGGGGAAGTCTTTCCTCCATAAAGTCTAATATGGTAACCATGAATTCAGACAAGGCTGCTATAAAACGCAAGCCCGATCCATCCGCCTCAGGCTGTAGTATTCAGCCAGCAAATGCAGAGACTACTACCTTGCAACAGCCTTATATCTCAGATGAATCTCCTAACCTTTTGCTTTATAGAAAGGTAAGTTTTATTTTTGGAATGTTTCTCAATTTTTATAAAAGCCTGTGTTTAGAGAAAACCAAAGAAAAAACATAAATTTAACATTAAACCGAGCATTAAACATTTATAATATAAGTTGAAATCGAATGTATTGGATTCCTTCAAACTAACTATGCATGTGGAGCAACCTAGCACAGAGTCAACTGATGCTACTGCTGGTGATTTGTCAATTGTTTTGTACTGAATGTAGGAGGAATCTCTTATTTAGAAATATTTCGTAGAACAATGTTCTACTTTGTTCTACTTGGCGATAAACATATCTAGGTACTCATTACGCATATCATGCTTTATCTTATATTTAAATACATAATTTAGGCATGAATTTTCGAACGAGGGACTATTTTAGGTATATTTGCCAAAAACTGGACACATTTGAAATCATCAAACATCGCCAGACTATGACGCGTTAAAAATAATTGGAATTAAATTTAATATAGAATAACTGTCAGGAGAAAATGTGAATAAGTTCCTGAGTCTGCTCATTAACTACAAATTAAAGTTTGAACCTCTCATATTTTATTTAGCTGGAGAAATATCGGCCAACACCTATGTGATAAGAGTATTTTCAAGGAAACTAGATTTGCCAACTGTTTAAAATACATATTTTTCCATTATTGAGTCTGGTTTTAGATATATTATAGTATTTGGATCTGTGGTTCCTGTGCCCAGTATTTATTTGATTTACTCTTCATATTACAAAAAGAAAAATGATTCGTTGCATGTTTGAAGCAAAATAGGTATAGGGATTCATGTAAACCAACGTTTCTAACACATTAGACACTGCCTTGCTTGTTTTTTTATTGGAATTGCTTGTCTTGTCTAATCTATGTCTAATCTTGTCTAACATAGCACCTGGCAAACATACAAACTCCCATTGCATAAGCCAAAATCAACTCAAATTCACAATTCAATTAGGTATACATAAAAGTAAAAATATCTTTTATCACCTTCCCTTGCATATAGGAAGACTTGAAATTGAGAGAAAATTTAGTAAAAGTAAAAATTCTCCTGACTTCTAAAGCATATTATTCTGTATATGTATTTCTAAACGGCTCACTGAATTGAGGGTTTTCATTTTGTATCTATCATTGATTGGGTTTCTGCAATTCACTATTAACTTGGTTGAAACTTTATCATCTTAGCCGCGTACAGACCGAATTTCTAACGGAGGCCAACGCCAACGGCACATGTGCTGTCGTTGGCGTTGGAACTGGAAAGCACTGACAAGAATTTGAGAACATCGTCCACACCGCCGTACACGCCAAAGCCAACGTGTTCCAACATAGTTCACATGTGCCGTTGGCTAGCATTGGAAATTCAGTCTGTACCTAAGCATCTTTATATATATATGAGTCATTTATATTGAATTTTTTCTTTGTCTGCTACAGGGTATTTATTGCCTTGTCTTGAATTATTTATATGAATGCTGTTATAAATATTTTAACCTAATCTTGAAACCTAACAGGAATATTTAATAATAAGGCCTGCTTGGTCAAAAGAATTGTACATTCTTCGGACAATAAAGCTTTTTTTGCGATTGCCACAAGTAAAAGTTTTGATCTGCACTCTTGCCAGTTGTGGCTAAACGTAGTAAGTTGAGAGAAAAAAAAATTGGAAGGGCGCCAATTTACTACCCTGTTGCAACCAAGTTCTCTTAGATGATAATATCTTCCTACCTGTATTAGAGCTCAATCCTTCCAAGCAAGCACTTTTTACAATTTTCCAGAATCCAAACTGACTTCCTGTTACCAAGTTATTACTTTCCTCAAAATCAATTATTTGAATATGGGTGGTACCTTCTACCCTTTCAAGGATTTTTTCTAGGGTTGGAAGCATATTTAATGGACAAAAATTAAAAGTTTTATTTGAATCAGGTTTCTTTTGAATTGTCATTTCAATAGACAGCTTCAACTTATTAGGGACAATACCTCTTTCTAATCACAAATTGATTTATTAGGGCATCGTCAATTCCTGCATGAACGTTTCTGTTAATATCCAATATATTCTGGACTTTTTTCATTTGTAACAGAAAATACTATAGGTACTGTTCAATTCTTAAGTACTCTAATATAAAATCTGTTAACAGATGGAAAAAATCATTGAAAAAATGCAAGATGAGGCAACTGGAGTTCCAGTGCGGACAGTAAAATCGTTTATGTCGAAAATACCATCTGTTTTTACTGGATCTGACTTGATAGCATGGATGCTGAAGAACCTAGACCTCGAAGATCAGCAGGAAGCCTTACATTTAGCCCATTTAATTGCTGCACATGGTTATTTTTTCCCCATTGACGATCATATGTTAACTGTTAAAAATGATGGTACATTTTATAGATTTCAAACTCCATATTTTTGGCCATCCAATTGCTGGGAACCGGAAAATACTGATTATGGTTCGTTAGAAATCCGTTATTTTTTCTATTCTTATTCTAAATTTATTATACTTTTTAAGCTGTTTATCTTTGTAAGAGGACCATGCAAAATAAAACAAGACTGGAATTAGCGGATTACGAGGCTGAAAATTTAGCACGGTTGCAAAAAATGTTTTCGAGAAAATGGGAATTTATTTTTATGCAGGCTGAAGCACAGAGCAAAGTTGATAAAAAACGTGATAAATTGGAAAGAAAAGTGCTTGATAGCCAAGAACGGGCATTCTGGGATGTTCACAGACCAATGGTAAATTTTAAGCTGGATTCATAAACTCTTTTGTTTAGTTGACTATAGTTTTGTTCAGGTTTGAAAAAAGCATGGTTCTAGAACGGTTCAAAACAATCCCACAGTTTATTAACAACAAAATGACAACGGCTCGGCTGTGACAAATTTCAGTAATAAACTGTGAAGAAACCTCATTTTTTCAAACGAACAAAGCTCATTAAAAGTTTAGCAGGAATATGAAAAAGATAGTTTGGAGTTGAAATTATATAGGGCCCTACATTTTAAAGAAATAAATAAACGTGATCCAAAAAAAAATTCAATAAAAATATAAACAAATATATTATAAATATTTATTGTATTTCTTAGCCTGGATGTGTAAATACTACAGAAGTAGATATCAAGAAAGCTTGTCAGATGAATAAGCCAATGAAAGGGCTAAAAAATTTGCAAATTGGAGCTCCTAAACTGTCACCTTCTACATCAGGTCTTCATCCAAAAGTAACAGTGGAATCTCTAAGAAAACAGGTTACACTTCTAAAAAGTCAGCTGGAAAGGAGAAATATTAAAGTATCTAAAGCTGCAGAATCGTAAGATTTTTTTTTTTTGGGTCGATTTTTTTTAGAATTTATTGTTTTTAGGTTTGTTGCTTATTATGAACAATATTTGGAATATGATCCATTCTTTGTACCTCCAGAATATGCTAATCCTTGGGTATACGATAACACAGAATTGTGGGAGCAAGAAAAAATAGCCAAAGACATATCAGCTCGACGGGTAAAACGATGGGCCTTTAGTTTACAGGAATTACTAGCGGACCCTATTGGCAGGGAACATTTTGAAAAGTTCCTGGAGAAAGAATTCAGCGGGGAGAATCTGAAGTAGCCATTGTTATTTCTGTTTTTCTTTCAGATTAGTATATTTGGTGATTGTTTTCTAGGTTTTGGGAAGCAGTTCAAGAATTAAAAGCACTACCACAAAGCCAAGTACAAAACAAAGTTACAGAAATTTGGGAGTACTTTTTAGCATCAGACGCTAAATGTCCGCTAAATGTGGATTCACATTCATATGAAATAACTAAGAAAAACATGGACGCGCCTGATCGGTGGTCTTTTGATAATGCCGCGGTAAGATTCTTCACATTATATCCAAACTCTTTATGAAACTGTCAGCCAAGCTACCTCTACATGTTTTAAATAATAATGTTAATTTCATGACAAAATGTCGGGGCAGGTTTTGAGACTGAAAATTTTATTTATTTTTTCTCCAATGATTTACTTTGGACTTTTTTTCAGGCTCATGTTTATCATCTTATGAAAAGTGATAGCTACTCCAGGTATTTGCGCTCTGAAATGTACAAAGACTTCTTAAATGGATCCAAAAAAAAGGTAGAAGCTTTAATCACAAAATATGCCTATACAGCTTTGGCAAGTCAACATCTTACGGGCGAATTTCAATCTAGTCTAGAAAAAGTCTAAGATTAAATAGAGAACAAAAACGATTTCCCCTGTTCCACCAACAGCATGGAGCGAGGGGAATGCTAGAGGTGGAACAGGAGAAATCGTTTTCGGTCTCTATTTACCTTAGACTTTTTCTAGACATTTTATTCTATTGCAATAAAATTAGCCCATAAGATGTTGACTTGCCAAACCTGTATATTTTTAGTATGGAAATTTCGAGATATTTCTTAAACTGATAAAAAATGTATTTATGCCCTCAAAAAACTAAATTTAACAGATAATCTAGGAATAAGAAAAGCGAAGTTTATGGCAGAATTCCCCAGGAACTGTCCAATAATGTGTATATTTTTCATCATTGGTCTTAAATTCCCAAGTTTTTGCATATTTCCTCTGTTTTTCCTGGTTCTATTTTGGGCAGCCTATACTACACTCATCAAAATAGTTTAGGGAACAAGAAATATCTGTCTTTTAATTTTAAGACCAAACAATTTTTTTTAATGTACAAATCTTATCAAATTTATCATATCTGCTTTTTTTGCAAGCCTGTTTAGTTTAAATATTTCTTAAATAAAATCAGCAAAAAAATTCTGATAAGTAAGTATACCTAGGTATTACGTTGTTCCCTAGACCATTTTGATGTGTGTATTATAATGAATCGCACTTCGTCCTCTTTATTATGATTTTTTTTTTTGCAGACATCAGTTAAAGGAATTCGCTCAATAGTCTCATTTTCGGCACGAAAAGATAATGTACCATAAATAAAAGAAAAGAAAAGTGTGTATAATCAAATGAGCTCGTAACGAGACGAGCTTATACTTATCGACAATACAACATTTTAGCCAGCAAGGCAGATTTTCCTAAGTTAAGTATCATTTTTGTTGTGACTAGGAAATAACATGGTTGTTTGCAAAAAATACTAGTCACAACCAATTCAAAGATATTTTTTAAGTGATTGTATTATAGTGACTCAGTATTAATATTTGATATTATTTTGTGACAAAAATGTTTTAGTTTTTGACTCATTAAAAAAAAAACTCCTAGGTTTTAGTACCCTTATATTTATTACCCACCCATCAAGTTTTACTAACTTCATAATGTAGTGAAGTTGAAAACTTCATCTATCATTTTAATAATTTTGTGTTCATTAAATTTAAGGAATACAAAATCTGCAAACATTCGCTGACCTGAAAGTTCCTTTTCGTTATTTCCGCTCAAATAAAATCCTCGGAGGAAGAGAGAAATAGTCTTGAAAATACTGCGTCACTGTAATCAGAAAAAAATAAGTCTATTTTTTGTTTGATCGCAGTGTCGGTAATGAATTTAAACACTGCCAAAGATAAAGGAAGAAAACGGGTTTATTTGTGAAAATATATACAAGTTATTTAAAATAAAAATGGGATAGATCCATTATAAAAAATATTTAGCTGTAGCCGATTCTAGAATTATATAAATAAGAAAAGCAGCAGTTATACTCAAGGTTTTAGTAAATTTAGCTAAGACTGTTCATTCCACTATATTTTTTTCGTTGAATTATGTAACTAGCAATAAACCTTGTTGAATCTCTGTATATACATCGTTAAGCAAAAGTCACCCATAGAATGATTGTATGATTGAAAGAGTTTACATGAAAAAGTGATAGATGAATCTAAAATGTAGCAATTATGTTATAATAGGGCGTTATTGGCTTATCGCTATTTAATTTTTATTCCCTTGTATCACCTTTATTTTTGTTCTCCAGCTGGAGATTGCATTAACCAATTTTAATCAGGACATTTCCACAGTTAGTGATTTTTATTGTCGCAGAACGTAAATATTTATCATACTTATACATTGGTCGAGAATAAGTTCCCTATTTTATTACGGGTTTCATCCTAAACAATAATTATTTGATTCTCAGTGGCAAAGTCTTCTGATAAGCCACATTCTGGTGATGGATATTAAAAACACTGGCTTTACTGGCCAAAAAAAAACTTACTAATATAATCTGAACATTCAGAAGACTCCTATTTTTTTTTCTAGAATCATTTTTGAATAGAGGTACCTACCTACCTACTGTATAAATCATTAATTAAGCTTAAACATATTCATTTGTTCAATTTTAATATTTTTAAGCAGGTAAGTCAAATATGCATAAAGCACATTCCTAAAAATAAGATAAATTAATTTCTAATGTTTAAGATAAATCTGAACTAAAGCTCACTTGTTGGAATGAAAAAATACCTTGTTATCAAAAATCTGTTATTTTATTGTTCAAACATTGCATCCATTGTTTTTAATTAACATTATTATACATATTATGATAAATATATATAATCTGTTATTAGACTTGATTCGAATTAGAACAGAAGTCCTGCAGTAAAAAGTGGATCAAGATTTTCTTTCTGTCAAAAATAAGGCGAAAATTGAAGAATAATAATTTTTTAAATAATAACTGGAGCAATATTGAATGTGAGCCTTCATTGCTGGTCCTATTTCAATACTTGAAGTTCATATAAAAGTATGTTCCTTGTTCCTTGTTTGCTTTATCTTACTTTATATATTTAATTGCAATTCACTACTGAAAGGCAATACATACTACAATTGAAATCTTGAAATCAAGTGAAATGAAAAAAAAAAAAAAATGTCTTGATAACTTTTGTCATTGTTCAAAAAGTAGCTGTGACTGTTTTCATATTTTGTAAGGCTTGTGAGCATGACAAATGTCGATCAATTCCTGGTAAATCTAAATTGTATTTTACTGAGTAGATGGTTATCTCCACCAACCCGCATGACAAATAAGGATATTTTATGTGAACTTTTTGTAGATAGGTATTCTAGTAACTTCAGACAGAACCCTAATTTTTAGAGTTTTATTGACTATGACAATCAATGAACGTATAGCCATAGCATAAAAATATAACAGTTATATGTTATATTTCCAACACACTTGCACTTGTAAAATTTATACATAATATTAAGGAAAATGTAAATTTGACAACGTTGCACACTGTTTAACTCATAAGAATTCTTTGATACCTTGATAGGCACCAAATATTTTTCAACTAGGCTAACAAGCCTTTGACAAAATAATAGCGATAATTTGCGCAGGAGATGAATTGTTATTTTTCTTATCACTAATAATATTCGTGCTTTGGTCATCAAAAAAGCAAGCCTTAGTCAGAGTCATTGTTTCTTTTGTCTGCTTAATTTTTCAACTAACTAAAAATTAAAAAAAAAACTATAATGCTTTAGTTATTCAGAAAAACAAAAATTAATAATAGTCTTCTGGCTATAGATGATTTAAATCACCTTGATCCACTTCTGATTGTGATGATTTTAGTTTATATTCTCTGAATAATTCTCTCAATACTTTCCTGCTATCAGCATTTAGGTATTATGCATTTTACGCCTCTTTTTCAAATTAACTTTATTTGAAAAAAAAAAAAAATACAATTTTATGTTACATACTGTCAACTTTACTCTGATTTAGCAAAACAAAAACCTTTGGTGTCTCATAATAGATTTGTGTAGTCACATAATTTTCTGATAATTACTATATTTTTTAAATTAACTTCAAAAGATTGTGAATTTTCAGAGTAAAATTGACTGTACATGCATGCAATATCTTTATGAAGCTGAAACACCGTTCAAGTTATGATTTTGTATTTGTGACTTTGATGTTTACTACTGAAGTGCCATACTGATAAAATTAAATTGTCAAATTCTGATCGCAATAATTTAAATTCCATAGAAATAAACGTGATCAATTGCATTGATTAAATAGGTCAATCGAAATTTGTTTTAATTAAGCACTTTGATTACTTGAAATTTGAAGCTTTAATTTTCAGTATATAGTAGTTTTTTTTCCTTACTTCAAGCTATTTACGCACAGCATGCAATTGATCAGTTGTTTATTAAACTATTTCCTGAAGTAGTGTATTTTTTCTACTTGTTATTTCATACTAATATATCAATGCAATATTTACAGGTTTAATAAAGTAAAAAAATTGTTCAGTAACAAAAAAAAACTATAGCCATATAGTAAGCTTTAACTAATTTTAAAATTATAAATAAAAAACAGTCTATCAGGTCTTGCAATGCACATGCTGTAAGTACTAGCACGTCTTCCACATAATAATGTTTCTAATATTATTATTATTGTTCATAAACTATGACACACAATGTGAGTTTTACCCCTATTTTTATTGCTCAATATTTGTTTTACTCGTTTTAGGCAATTTTATTCGGAAATTGATTAAAGGAGACTCTCCTTCAATCAATTTTCATCGCTTTTCGGTTAAGTAACCGACAAAAAAACTTCCATTTCAATTTTATTTGAGACAAGAATCTCCTATTTGCATTTTCAATAGATACTTTTTTTGTTGGCCGCATACCAACAGGATTAAATCTTAGGAATTAAAAGTTACACAGTAAGTTAACTAAAATCCCAAAAAATATATACAGGGTGTTCATTTTAAAACTTACCACCCCCCTTGCCATTTAAGATTTTCTAGGGGCCGGGAGGTTGAAAGGGGGGAGGTGAATTTTGTATAACAACTCATCCCCCTTCAAATTATAGTTGACGTGTTTCAGGGATTTTTTCGAAAATTTTCCAACTCCGAGATAATAGGGTTGGTGAGTTTCAAAATAAACACCCTGTATATTTATTTCAACTGTTCCAAATTTAGCTTTTTAGATTGGCTGGTAGATTTTTTGACAATGGCAGTAGAAAGTAGGTTATATGCCAACATTATAACTGATCACTATTATTATCTGCCAAAAGCACAATTTCTCTCCACTATACAGGGTGTTTTTGAGAGGCGGTTTGTCTCCATAACATTTTTGAGTGGTCAAATAAACAAATTCATTTTGGTACAATTAAATAATAAAAACATGAAAGTTATTGAGGCAAGCCATATGTTAAAGACACTAAGTATGTATATAAATTGTTTATGCAATTCAAAAATTATTTCAATATTCTATATGTATTTTTTGGCAGTAAGATATCTATTTTTGTAATATAGAATATTGATAGTAGTTTTTTTAGTGAAAAAGTAGATATTTCCTTAATTAAGGTAAAAACTAGGGAACAGTTTTAATTTTCGTGAAAAAAAAGTTACACATAAAAAGGTATTTTTCACACTTCTGGGTGAAAAAATTCGTTAGCCATAGTAGAAGAACACTTCGACACATAATATTTAATCTGCAATAATTTATTGTAGGAAGAAATAATGCCCATTATGCTTCGGAAATAAATATGAAAGATAAATTGCCATTCAAAGAATATCATTACGATTTCAATGTTGTAATTATGGTTTTTTTGGGGGGAAAGTGTTGATTTAAACAACAATTTTTATTAAGTCTGTATTCTTTGAGTAGTGATTGAAAAAAAAGTTCTGTGATTATATTAAATATAATTAATTTATAAAAAAAATCATAAATCATTTTGAAGACCAGTAAAGTTATCATACATTTAATTTGCAAATGTACAGAAATTTAGAGGATATATTATAAAGGAATTGAAGTTATATGTATGTACTTATTATGTATCAAATGGGTATGTAGATATATACATATATTCAAATAGAGAAAAAATGTCCAAATTCAAAACTAGAATGAAAAATTATACAAAAAAAAAAAACTATTAAACCATTATTTAAATAAAATCAAAGATGTTTTTATTACCCTACCACTAATCCATAATATATTGATTTAAATGCGACATTGAGTAGTACTAGATACATCTGACGTAGATAATGCTCTGATTTTTTTTGCGACTTTCAAACCTGCTATGTAACATTTTTTAATGAGATTGGATTGTTGATTGAAAAACACATAAGCACTATATCTGCACTGGCATACAATAGAGGCCTTAAACGGTCGTAGTACTCGTAGTCTTCTTCACCAGCCGTATCAGTTAGAATTAAATTGACAGACCAAGGTTGCATACTCAAAACCTGCTGAAAAATTAATGGCGATTTCCATTTGTCAATCAGTGCGCACTGAGTGTATCCGCATCTTTTTCTAAAAGCATGTAACAAGTGAGGATAAGGATAAATTTTTTTTGCACTGCGTGCGTACCTATAATGGCGGAAAACTCTTCTATAATACTCCGAAACGAGTTTTTATTAATGCTCCTTGCCGCCTTGCGTTACTTCTAACATTTAAATTATTGATAAGGATTTATAAGACAAAATAATACTCAGCAAATGATCAGCCACTTTCACAAATTTTGGCAGTTTTAGAGTAAATTTCATCTACCCTCGTTAATAGACGGGAAAAAAACGAGACTATCATGAAAAGCGGTTTGATAGCAAGAGGAATTAAGGTCCATAAAGGAAGGGGGGAGGTTTGAGGGATGGGTGTTGATTGGTTGTTTAAAAAAGGGACGTGAAATTTTCTGATAAGAAACGTTCATTACAGTGCGTTTTGCAGTTTGTATTTTTGTGTTTATACAGTCCTAGCTGTACCCTACGTGCGTTGCTACGCCTCCCCGAAAACAATTGTTTTAAACTTACCGAAGCTAACCCAAACTAACCCAAGCTGTACGCTTCAGATCTATCCCACAGGAATTGTGCATTTTTTCTGGATGAAAAGTAGCCTATAGCCCCCCATTTATATAGAGACTACGTAGCATAAATTTCAAGGAGATCGGTTCAGCGGTTTCCGAGTCCATTAAAAACGAACAAACAAACAAACAAACAAACATGGATTTTTATAGATAGTAAAAAAGCTGTACAATGATTTTCGCAAAATGGTAATAAGAATAATAACGCAAGCATTCGTCAATCCATCAAGAATCCCTGCATTTGCGTGTGTTGCACGCATCCTCGTAAGGATGCGTAACCTATCCAGAAACCTTCCTGGGGATGGCCATAACAACCTAGCAAAGTTTCATTGTAATCGGATAAGTGGTGTCGGAGCGTATAAGGGACAAACAAACAAACAAACAAACCAAAATTGATTTTTATATACAGGGTGTCTGTCCCACGGGGAACCAAATCGATCTATATATGAAAAACTGTATGCAAAATTTTTTTGAAAATTTGACAGTATACTAATGTCAATGGAGGCAAACCCGGCTAAAATATTTTCAAGATGGTGGCACTTCCGGTTATACCGGAAGTAGACGTCAGCTTGCTCATTTTAAATGAGACACCCTGTATGTGATTGCATATTTGGATTCTACGTAAAATTCTGAGCAGATTAATTTTCATGTGATATACCCTATACATAAGTTCAACTGTTTTGGACATCTCAGATTTTTATAAACTGTCATTTGACACCAATTCTGTATTTAATCCATGATTAAAAATTCCAATTAAATTTGATCTCCAGTTAAATTCAGAGTTGGTGTCAAATGATAGTTTTTCATGAAAATCCAAGATAGGAATGTGAAATCGGTTTTCCTTTAAAATTAACCGTTTAGGTTTTACAGCCTGTCAAAGTTGCAAAAAGTCAATTTTCGACTGTACAGGGTGTCCGAATTTGGATGGTTTTAATAGGAAACGTCAATTTCTGAGCGAGATACAAAAAAATGAACCCCCCACTCCGAGGCTCAAATTTCTTGAAATTTTGATTGGCGCAAACCGCATTTGATATCTTCAACCGTTTAGCCGCTAGAGGGCGATTCTCGATTTTGAGCCATACTGTGAAATCTTCATAACTTTTTTGTTTATAAAAATAACTGATTTCTGTAAAAACTTCCTAGAAGCACTTTTTCAAGCAGAATTCAGTGACGTTTTCAGTATTTTTCTATTGGGCCTCGATTTCAAGATATTGACCAAAATCCGATTTTTTCCTCATTAGAAAGTTCTGCTTTTGCTGATTTCAATGATACAAATTTCGATAGATTTATCTCTAACAGTTTTTGAGAAAAAAAAATATTTCGGCTTTTGTCATAAGAAACAATGAGTTAGAAAGAGATCTTTCTCAGTTTCCTTACAGATATAAAGTCCTTTTCTTACACATTACTTCTTATGACAAAAACCGAAATAATTTTTTTTCTCGAAAAATATTAGAGATAAACCTATCGAACTTTATATCATTGAAATCAGAAAAAGCCGAGCTTTCTAATGAGCTATTAATATATAGAGTGTCCTATTGAAAAAAAAACAGACTTTGGTCAATACCTTGGAGTTGGGACCAACTAGAAAAAAACTGAGAACGTCACTGAATTCTCCTTGAAAAAGTGCTTCTAGAAAGTTTTTACGGAAATCAATAATTTTCATAAACAAAAAAGTTATGATGGTTTCACATTATTGCTCAAAATCAAGAATCGCCCTCTAGCGGCTAAACGATTGAGATATCAAAATGCGGTTTGCACCAATCAAAAATTCATGAAATTTGAGCCTCGGAGTGGGGGGTTCATTTTTTTGTATCTTGCTCAGAAATTGATGTTTCCTATTAAAACCATCCAAATTCGGACACCCTATATTTCCAAAATAGTTGAACTTAGGTGCAGGGTATATCACATAAAATCTGCTCAGAATTTTACGTAGAATCCAAATATGCAATCACATACAGGGTGTCTCATTTAAAATAAGCAAGTTGACGCCTACTTCCGGTATAACTGGAAGTGCCACCATCTTGAAAATATTTTAGCAGGGTTGCCCCCATTGACATTAGTAGACTGTCAAATTTTCAAAAATTTTCTGCATACAGTTTTTCATATATAGATCAATTTGGTTCCCGGTGGGACACCCTGTATATACATAGATTAATAAACTATGAAATTTCTTCGATTACAAATTACGCACAATAAGATATTTTTTATGTAGGTACCTGACCCAAATAAGGCCATGTACCATGTACCTACCTAGTGAGGCCAATGCCCTTTATTATTGCTTAATATTGAAACCCATCATTTTCAACAATTATTATTATTATTATTATAGGGGTTTTTGACAGTAGGCGGAAAAACCGGTAGACTGTCATTAGTTCTTGTGCTGGGAATGTTACTTGCCAGTACACTATTTTACGGCCTATCACTAAAATATTTATCAAGTCTGTTCTTAAAGGCATTCACACTAGGGGAGGTTACAACCTCGTCAGGGAGCTGATTCCACTGTTGCACCACTCGGTTCGTGAAAAAATTCTTCCTGGAAAATCTGTGACAAAGTTCGGTGGAGAGCTTCAGGGAGTGTCCACGAAGATGAGGGTTGATATTTCTGTGAAAGAAATCAATGTCGCATGTGTAATGATTATGTAGGATTTTGTATGTTTCAATTAAGTATCCTCTATTTCTGCGTTCCTCCAGAGTTGTCAGATTAAGAGCTTTCAGTCGTTCTTCATAAGACAATTCTCTTAAAGATGGTGGAATCTTGGTTGCCCTCCTCTGGACACGCTCAATCAGATCTGTCCTTTCTGAAATAGGGACACCAAACCACAACAGCATGCTCCAGCAGTGGTCTGATGTAGGTTTTGTAGGCTCGGAGAAACACTTCAGGGGACATTTCCCTGAAACATCGTCGTATCAAATAGACTGTTGAGTTCCCATTTTAGGTCATGTGAGATATTTACTCCTAAGTCGGCCTGCTCAGTCACCCTTTCCAAGTTGTTATTGCCCATATGGTAGTCCAGCATAGGATTGTTGTATCCAATGTGCAATACACAACATTTGCTGACATTAAGTTTCAATAACCAGTCCTTCGTCCACCTATCCAGCTCAGCAAGATCCTCAACCATGGCACCATGTTGGAATGTAGGGTCACAAAATATCTTGGTGTCATCGGCATACATACTGGTCCTACAGGACATGTTCTGGGCAATATCTGAGACATAAATTATAAATAGAAGTGGGCCCAGCACCCTGTGGAACTCCACTGACAGTGTAGTCCCGATAAGGCGCCATTTATTCTGACTTGGTATTTATTTATTTATTCATTTATTTACGGGAAAACCCCATTAACTGTTAAAATACAATTTAAGAAAAAATATAAAGAATAAAGCATAAGTTAGGTACTATATTATAACTATAACTACATAAATAATAAATATTATTTAACTATAAAAATTAATACTACACAATAATATAAAACAAATCAAGTACAGCCAAAAATCATCTTTTAAGTAAGTAGGCATTAGTAAAAGTATGTAGGTATTATGAAAAATATCTTGATCTTGATAATGAGTAGTTAACATATGGAAACATAAAATAGAATTAGGCACAACAAATAATACACAAACCAGAATTGACCCTGTTATACAAAAAATATCACATATTCTTCAGGTACGTTTTTAATTGACCTAAGGTCATATCAAATATATCAATAATTAAGTTATTAATTAATGACATATATCTGTCAATAGGATTATTTTCACCATATGTTGTTCGGTGAAAAGGTATGAGAAATGTTGGGTGTTGCCGCAGTCCCCTAGTGGGTACATTAAAACTAACTGAAGAAAGGAGACTTGGACAGTCAATTAACCCATGTACTAATTTGTATATAAATGCTACACCAAAACTATCTCTACGAAGGCCCAGAGGACTCAATGACAATTGTTGTTCTATTGCTCTATAGTCGTGGTCAGCCATAGCAAAGCCATTTTTGAACGCACACACTCTAAGTATGTCCGACTACACAAGTAGTCCCGAATCCATCGAAGCAGCCGACCCCGTATATCACAATGCTCAAGCTTGTGAAGCAGTCTCTCTGAAGGAACAGTGTCAAACGCCTTTTCAAAGTCGAGGTACACAACGTCAATTGGATAATGCTCTGCAGATGACTTGGTCCAGTGTTCCAGGCTGGACAGGAGATTGGATGTAACTGATCTCCCCGGCAGAAAACCATGCGATCATGTTACAACAGTAACATGATCGGTCTTACCTATTGGGATTGCAGACGTTATACTTGTCACCAACCTTTCGTCTGATACCAAGAACAAGTCAAGTAATGAGGGGACAGAAATGTTTACAAGCGTGGATGTCTCTTGGCCGGGCTCCATTCATGATGCCCGTATTTGGACCAATTCTCAAATCCAATCAGTTTATCAGTAAAAATCAAGTTCGTGCTCTTCTCCTAGGCGATTCAGGATTTGACATCGCTCCCTGGCTAATGACACCTTTCAGAGCATCTGGTAATCCAGAACA